AATTATTTTTTTAATTTTTGAAATCGGGCCATAAATAAAAATTCTACAGCGCCTGGCATTTTTTAAAAATCACCCTGTATAAAAAAATTGACAATATATTTTAATATGTATTATAAAAAATTACACAAAATTAACAACATTTTTATGTCAAATTTGACTTTTTTGACATTGACATTTCGCTAAATAAGACGTTTTTGGCCATTTTTTTGAATTGTGTGTCTCAATGTTGCCAACATAATTTCAAAATCACGGGTCACTTTGATCAAAACTTTACATTACCATGTCTGGGTCGTTCCAATGGCCGGGGCCCGCATATGGCAACAAGGCGACTTGATTCAAACTGAACCAATCCGTGATTTTGGCAACACTGTCCCATGAGTCTTGAATGTCGCCATAGTTACGCCACAGATTACAGTGTTCGACCGCCGCGCTATAATTCGCCTGAAACACCCTGTATATATTTTTAAGCGTCAATTAGGAGCAAATTAATTTTGACAGTTATCACAATTTTAAATTTGACAATTGTAAAAAAAATTGAATTTGACAGTAAGCTGTCAAAAATTTTTGAATTTTCTCTTAGATTTTTGTAGAAAACTGTATGTCGAGGTGTAATTTGCCTGAAACACACTGTGTATATTTTTAAGCGTCAATTAGACGCAAATCAATTTTGATAATTGTGAAAATTTTTAATTTAACAGTTGTTAAATCAAAAAAAATTGATTTTCTTCTAGATTTTTGTGAAAAATGTACATTGAGGTGTAATTTGTCTGAAACACCCTGTATATATTTTTAAGCGTCAATTAGGCGCAAATCAATTTTGATAATTGTGAAAATTTTTAATTTAACAGTTGTTAAATCAAAAAAAAATTGATTTTCTTCTAGATTTTTGTAGAAAAATGTACATTGAGGTGTAATTTGTCTGAAACACCCTGTATATACTTTTAAGGCGCAAATCAATTTTGATAATTGTGAAAATTTTTAATTTGACAGTTGTCAAAAAATGTTGATTTTCTCCTAGATTTTTGTAGAAAATTGTACTTCGAGGTGTAATTTGCCTGAAACATCCTGTATATATTTTAAAGCGTCAGCTTGGAGCAAATCAATTTTGACACTTATCAAAATTTTAAATTTGACAGTTGTAAAAAATTTTGAATTTGACAGTAAGTTGTCAAAAAATTTTGATTTTTTTCCTAGATTTTTGTAGAAAACTGTACGTCGAGGTGTAATTTGTCTGAAACATCCTGTATATATTTTTAAGCATCAATTAGGCGCAAATCAATTTTGATAATTGTGAAAATTTTTAATTTGACAGTTGTTAAATCAAAAAAATTTGTTTTTTTTTCTAGATTTTTGTAGAAAACTGTACGTCGAGGTGTAATTTGCCTGAAACACCCTGTATATATTTTTAAGCGTCAGCTTGGAGCAAATCAATTTTGACAGTTAACAAAATTTTAAATTTGACAGTTATCAAAAATATTGAATTTGAAAGTAAGTTGTCAAAAAATTTTGATTTTTTCCTAGATTTTTGTAGAAAACTGTACGTCGAGGTGTAATTTGCCTGAAACACCTTGTATATATTTTTAAGCGTCAATGAGGAGTAAATCAATTTTGACAGTTGTCAAAATTTGTAATTTGACAGTTGTCAAAAACTTTTGATTTTGTCTTAGATTTTTGTTGTAAAGTGTACGTCGAAGTGTAATTTGCCTGAAACACTTTGTATATGTATATTTTTAAGTGTCAATTAGGATTTTGACAGTTGTCAAAAACTACGTCGAGGTGAGGGGAAACATCCTGTATATAGTTTTAAGCGTCAATTAGGAGCAAAACTAAAATTTGGTAGTTGTCAAAATTTTAAATTTGACATTTGTCAAAAAAATTTGTATTTTCTCCTAGATTTTTGTAGAAAATCGTACGTTGAGGCCTTTGTAGGCGGGAAAACTGCAGGAGAAGACAATGGGGCGTCGGGTTTGGTTCAAATAGGCCTCCATTTCGGCGTATCCGTCCTCCATTCCGTCCAAATCGGCGTAACAACCATCGAGTTTGAGATAATCGACGCCCCAATCGGCGAAAGTTTGGGCGTCGAGCGCCAAATGGTCGATGCTTCCGGGGTATCCCCCGCAGGTCTTGGTCCCGTAGTCCTCGTAAATCCCGAATTTGAGCCCTTTGGCGTGGACATAGTCGGCGAGGGCCTTGATTCCCGAGGGAAAACGCCCAGGATCGGGCTGGAGTCGGCCCTCGGAGTCCCTTTCCATGGCCAACCAGCAGTCGTCGACGATGACGTACTCGTAGCCGGCGTCCAAAAACCCATCAGACGCCATTTTGTCCGCCATGTCGCGGAAAAGTCGCTCACTTTGTTTTTAAATTAAATTGGGGTTTTGGGGTTTGGGGGATTTACCTGATGCAGTCGGTGGGGTAGGTGGCGCAGTCGGTGATGCACCGGAAGCGCTCCCAGTGCATCCACCCCATCGGGGGGGTCAAGGCCAACCCGTTATCGAGACAGTCTATTTGAGACAAAAGGTGAAGGAAAATTGGTACCACTGGGATTAGTTTTAACATTTTTTAGTTAGTTATTAGACACGAGCACAATTACAATACTTTTGACACACTATTGTGTCAATTTTTTTTATCAAAAATTATCTCAAATTGCTCTTGAAAACTTGAAATGATTTGATTGTTTTGTGTCAACTGTTTTACGATGTGCTCATTTTTGTGAAATTTGAGGTTTTTTACCACCAGGAATTCAATTTATGCACTTTTTGACATTTGGGTCAATTTAAAAATTTTCAATTTTTGGAAAAAGCTTATGCATTTATGTCGCTGCGCCACCACGCCCCCGGCCAGTATCATCTTTGTTCTAAATCTAATATATTCAAACAGAACATTTTTCAAAAATTAATTTTTTGCATTTGTACCAGGTTTTATTTTTAGATTTGGATCAATTTTTATTTTTTTATTTTTGTCGGGATTTTCGAATTATTGCTGTTAGCCTATTTTACTTGGCACCATTGGCAAGCAAATTTAATTTTCCTAAGAATTTTTTTTCTCCAAATAAAACGAAAATTACAATTTTGCTACCTTCAAAAACTCAAAATATTCGTAAATTTACTTGACCCAATAATGTTTTAGACACTTTTTTGAGTCTTTAGCGCCTCTGGAAATGTAAAAAAACGTTAAATGGATCAATTTTAAAGTTGAAATTTTTTTTGATTTTTGTCGAGATTTTGGTCGATTTTTGGCACCCGGAGCGGTCTAACGGCAATAACTCCGGACTTATCAGAGATAACCTCTTATATTTGAAAATTGAATTTTCTATCATATATTAAAAAGTTCAGTGCTCTACGATGAATAGTTATCGAGAAAATTTCTGATAAAGTCAAAATTATCGAGAATTTAAATCCGACTATAACTTCAAAACTACTACGAATTTTGCAGTTTAATTGACGCCAATCGATTCCCCGGAACATTTTACATAGGTWTAGGTCAAAATATTATGTCATTGAGACTCAGTTTTGCCGCAATTTACAAAATAAAAAAAGTAAAAATTTGTCAACACCTCCCCCTTAAAAACTAATGTTTTTAAACATGTCTCAGATTCAATTTAAACCTATCTTATCCGATAGATTTTGACGCGCTAATTTCGAATTTCCCAATTATTTTGCTCTATCTCCTTTAGTTTCGCCGTAATCGGCGTTTAAATATTCAAATTTTTTTTGCGAGATATCGACTTGGCTTTGGCCTCAGTCGATAGATTTTCTTACGCTGATTACGATGGAATTAAATTCTTTGCTCTAAGTTTAATAGTTTGGCCGTAATCGCCGTTCAAAAAGTGAAAATTGTAAAAATTGTGAAACTTTAAACGCGTTTTTCTACGAAACTATAACATTTAGAGCAAAGAGCTAAAAAACATTAAAAGTAGCTTGAAATTATCTATTTATTGGCGCAAACCGGAAGTCGCTCCGGGTTATGGCTCCGGGTACAGAGCCATTTTTAGTTTTTTTTAAAAAAATTAATATCTCAAAAACTATGAGTCTTAGGTCAACAGGGTTTATACAGGCGTGTTCTCCGGTTAATTTTACATATAGTACTAGTTTTTCATAAGAATCAAAAAATGTTGATTTTT